CTCAAAAACTGAAGATGAAACATGCTACTCTGAGAGGGGATAGATTCAAGACACAGGCTGAGACAGACATTTTTAGATGGATATCTTTATATTATTATAACATTATACATTTTAATAAAATACACATTATAATATAAATTCCCATGTTGGCTGTATAAATATATATGTATATGTGTATATATTTATATATGTATACAAACATATGTATTGGTTGTATATACATGTATACACACACAAATACATATATAATGTGTATATATGTATATGTATATGTATACATGCATATACACATATATCCAATGTAGGAAATTATTTTGCTTGACTGCACACATTTGTTACAGGGGTTTTGCTTTTCTTCTTCCCCTCCCCCAATGGGAAGAGGTAGGGGAGAGAGAAAATAAATGCTTCTTGATTGATAAAAAAAATAAATTAAACAAGGAAACAAAGGCAGGTTTCCTTAACCATAGTAAGAAAAAGACAGTCAGCAAGAATACGTTGTTGATAGGACATAGCATTGATTCAAAGTCAGTTCTCTGCCACCATGTTGGCCATGTTGACCATGCTGGTGCTGGTCAAGCCTGAAGGAAAGGAGCTACTGACTCATCATGGGTTGGCTTTTGTACAAAAGCAACCAGAAAGCTATGCCAAAAAGCTGAAGCCTTCATGCCCTGAATCATTTAAGTCTTGAGGATAGCTTCAATACCTTTATGGGCTTTTTTACATGCAATTTTTATTTTATTTTTTTCTCAATTGCCTGTAAATAAAAATTTTTAACATTCTTTTTTTTTTAATTTTAGGTTCCATATTCTTTCCCTTCCTCTCCTCCCCTTTCCTTGAGAAGGCGAGCCATTTGATATTGATTATACATGGGCAGTCATGCAAAACACTTCCATATTAGCCATACTGCAAAAGAAAATGCAGACCAAAAAACAAGAATAATAAAGGAAGTAATAAAAGTATGTTTAAATCTGCATTCAAATTCCATCCCTTCTCTCTCTGGAGATGGATAGCATTTTTCATCATAAGCCTTTGGAACTGGCTCAATACTTCTCCAGGAAATACCTTTACCACACAGAGCATTGGAAGTGTCCACCTGCAGGCTGATAAAATAAAAAGGACAGGTAGAGTACTTTCTTGCCTCGGGGCATTGAGCCCTGTGTTTCCTTCAGTCTTCTGTTCTATTCTTCCCATTGCCTTCCTCACCCTTATACAATCAACTTTCCATTTACAATGTGTCCCAAAAGTCTTAGTGCGCTTTAAAGCTATTGTGCTGGTGATTTGGGGATATTTTTGTTGTTTTGCTCACTCTGAATGAGTATGCTTACATATGACTACACATCTATATCTCTAGGTCTCCAAGAACTGAAAGTATGTCTGAGGGCTTGCCTATCTGTGTACCTCCAAGCAGCCTTGTGTCAGAAACTCCACAGTGAGGCAAGCACTCAGAACTGAATTCCAGCTCTAACATTTAACCCGGAGCCTGGCACATACTAAGCACTTAATAAATGCTTGTTGGTGGATTGATTAACTGACCAATACTTGGGCAGTTCTTAACCTCTCTCTAAGCTTCAGTATCATCCTCTGTCCTCTTTTCTTTCCACTGTTGTATTTTATCAACCTTAGAGTGATCTAGAAATGTGAGTGATTCCTCTGGACCTCTTTTTGTTTGTTATCCAAGTGACCATGATTGAGTATGGCTGAGCACCAATATATAGATTCCAGTGCCTTTATGTATCCACAACTGAGAAAGTTGTCCTTCTGACCTACTCCCAAAGCTCAGAACTTGTTCTCCTGCTCCTCTCAAGCAGTTACGTTGCACAGTAGATAGAGTGCCAGGCATGAAGTCATGAAGACTCATCTTTGTGAGTTCAAATCTGACCTCAGACACTTACTAGCTGTGTGACCTTGTACAAGTTACTTAACCTTAGAATGATCCAGAGCAAGAAATGGCAAACCATTCCAGTATCTTTGCGAAGAAAACCCCAAATAGAGTCACAAAGACTCAGACATGACTGAAATGACTGAATGACAACAACATTCTTCTTAGTCCATAAAAGCTAAAGAGAAAATAGATTAATAATCCCACACTTCCTTCAATTAAACAAAGTCATAATTTCATACATCACCTAAGGAAACAAATTTTATCAAACAAACTCTGTAGGTAAACTGAGCTGGCTTACAGATTAAATTACATTTAGAGGATTACAAATAGGCTGATTGAGCAGGAGGATTTACAAGGAGTTAGGGACAGTCGAGATCCTTCCTCTGGCTTCTTGCTCTTAGGTAAAATTTATATTCCATAAAACAGCTTTTGTTCAGGTGAGGTTAATATTAAAATAGACTTTTAGTTAACCAAAAATTGCAGGAGGAATGGCCAAATAATAAAATGAAATTTAAAATTCCCATAATAATAGTAAAAGTCAAAAAGAGATGGTACTAAGCATCTGGAGTAAAAGAGGAGAAGGGACCAAGAGAGGTCTCCTAGAGGTGGTGGAACTTGAGATGAGTCTTAGAGGAGGACAAGGACAGTCAGCGTAAAAGCAAAGAGTTGGGCAATGGTGTTTCCCATGCTGCAAGTAGGCCAGTATGGATGACTTGTAGAGTATTTGAAGAAGAGTGGGCCATAAGAAGACTAGGAATATAGGAAGAGGCCAGGTAGTAAAAGACCTTAAATGTCAAACAAAAGGACATTAAATTTGATCCTGGAGCTGCTGGATTTTTGTTGAGTAGAGGTTTGGGTGGCATGGTCTCATAGACAGACTTAAGTTTTAGGAAAATAAGTTGGGCAGTTGAATGGAGAATGGACTGCAGAGACTTGTGCCATGGAGACCCATTAGAAGGTTATTACTGTGGTCCAGGGGAGGGAGGCTGAGGGCCACAACTAAGGCTGTGGCTTTGTGTGTAGAACTAAGAGGAAGTGTGAGAAAGATATTATAAAGAAAGATGTTCTGATTTTAGGCAGTGGATTAGATATGAAGAGCGAGTGAGAGATGATTAGAGGCTGATATCAAATCAAGGTTATAAACCTCTGTGACAGGGAGGTTGGCGGAGCCCTTAGAAGCAATAGGGAAGTTCATTTTACAGGTGAGTGAACTGAAGCCTGAGAGCGGAAGTGATTTGCCCACAGTCAGCTAAATCAGTGGCAGAAATAGAATAAGAAGCTAAGATTCCTGATTCCCTGACCAGCACTCTTTTAGAAGGAACGTCAGAGGTCACAGAATCCTTGAACCACAGATAAGGTGCCAGAAAGGAGCTTAGAGGTCATCTGCTCCAATCTCATCATTTTGTAAATGAAGAAACTGACCTTAAGTGACTTACTAAGCTTGGGTGGCAAATGCTGGAGCAAGAATTCAACCCAAGTCCTCTTGCTCCAGACATAAATCTCTTTCCACTTACATCACAACCTCATTGAATATCTGAAGTCCCTTCCAATTGTGAGCTTCTATAATTTTATAAATATTTGTGTATATACATATGCATATATTTTATAATTATGTATTATGTTATATATTATAGTATTATCTAATATGGAAGCAGCTAGCTGGCTCAGTGGATAAAGGGCTGGGCCTGGAATCAAGAAGACATGAGTTCAAATCCAGCCTCAGACACTTACTAGTGTGTGACCCTAAGTAAGTCACTTAATCTGTTTGCCTTAACCCACTGGAGAAGGAAATGTCAAACCAACAGCACTGGTGTCCATGGGTTCAAGAAGAATCAAACACAACAGAACAAAAATTATATATTATAATTATATATTTTTTATAACTGTACATATGTATAATTTTATAACTGCATATATATGTAATTGTACAGGCATACCTCATTTTATTGCTCTTCACTTAATTGCGCTTTGCAGATGCTGCATTTTTTACAAATTGAAGGTTTGTGGCAATTCTGCGTTGAGCAAGTCTCAACAGCAGCATGTGCTCACGTGTCTCTGTGTTACATTTTGGTAACTCTCACAATATTTCAAACTTTTTCATTATTATTCTATCTGTTATGGTGACCTGTGATTTTTGATGTTACTACAATTGTTATGGGGCACCACAAGTCAGGCCCAAGTAAAATGGTGAACTTAATTTATAAATGTTGTGTGTGTTCTGACTACTCATATGGCCAGCCTTTCCTCATCTCTCTCCCTTTCCTTGCGCCTCCCTATTCCTTGAGATACAGCAATATTTAAATTAGGCCAATTTACAATCCTACTAGTGGCCTCTGAGTGTTCAAGCGAAAGGGTCAATTTATGCAGCAAACTTCATTGTTGTCTTGTTTTAAGAAATTACGTAACCAACCCAATGTTCCACAAGCACCACCCTGCTCAGTCAGCAGCTATCAACATTGAGTCGAGACCCTCAACCAGCAAAAAGATTATGACTCACTGAAGGCTCAGAGGATAGTTAGCATTTTTTAGCAATAATGTATTTTTAATTAAGACATGCACATTTTTTACATAATACTATTGCACACTTAATAGACTACAGTATAGTATAAATATAACTTTTATAGGTACTGGGAAACCAAAAAGTTCATGTGACTCATTTTATTGTGATATTCACCTTATTGCCAAATCTGCAATATCTCCAAAGTATACCTGTACATATCCCTCAGTTTGTGCCATATTAATGGATGTGTGTTTATGTCTGGAGGTACTCTTTCCCCCACCATGATACTGGGAGCTCCCCAAAAGCAAGGACTTTATTTCTTCCTTCCTATGAAACCTCACCCCAGCTCTCACCTGTGTTGGTCCCCAGGACAAAACCATGTGCACATGAGCACCCTTGATGCCAGCTGTAACATTCATCTCCATGACTTTGGGGCAGATCACATAATTTCTTTTAATCTTGGTTTTCTTATCTGTCAGACTGATTGAGATAATATCCCCACTCCCTATCTTACAGGTTTGTTGTGAGGAAAGAATTTTGGAAACTTCTAAGCCCTCCTAGGTGAGTTATTCATAAAGTTTGCTGGAATGTTGGGCTAATTGAAAACAGAGAACCCCATTGAAGTTCCTCTAGTGCACTTTATTTGATATACAGCAGCTATAACTTAGAACCATCAACAATAAGCAAAGGATGACAACAAGCAAAGAGCATGTTAGTTATTTAGGGGCTATTTACACAAAGAGCTGAGGCTGCTCAGATCTGAGCATTACTGCCCAGGGACCAAAGAAGAAAATTCTATTCATTAAATGCAGCTTATGGCTTTCTCTGGAAGCAAAAAAGCATTGAGAGATTAAGAACTTTTGAGGGGATGACCCCAGAGAGGAGATCAAAGGGCAAAAAATCACAGACCCCCAAGACCTTGAGACGACCTGACCTACTGAGTGCTGCCAAAGTGGCTGAGGCCAATGATCAGCCTTTCATTCACTTGGTGTTAAGGAGAAAGGATAAATAAAAACAACTGAAAGTACAAAGCTCTTTTGGACTGGGCTTTGTGACAATGGGTATATCTGATGGGCTGAGAAATAACAGGTCTTCACAACCAATGACAAAATACCCTGTGAGGATTTGACCCCCGAGGAGCCAGGAGGATGTCCAACTTCCTTCATAGCCACACTACTTCCTTCTTCATGCCAGGGAAAGGCAGCATCACCTCTCAAACAGTGACTATGCATCTGCCTAGGTACAACTGTTCTCACTCTCTCTTCCTAAGCATGTGTCTTCTTCAAGTCTTCCTTAGGACAAAGAACGTAATCATAGGTTTTACTTTTAAAGGCTTACTTCAGGACCAAAGTCTTCAAAGGGATAAAAAGCAAAAAAATCAAAGGGAAGATATTTGTATCAGTAACAATTTGGAATCAAGACAGGCCACAATGTGGAGGGGCCAGAGTTAACTCTAAATACTCTGGAGACTTGAGAATCGTGGGTATTTTAGAGGGCAGCAATCAAGGTCGGTATCATCTCCAGGTTGTGGGCAAAAATCATCTTCTTCCACAGTGCCATGGTGAATGGGGCCAGAGAGTTTATCGGGTAGTTTTCTTGGCTGGGGAGCTGGCTGAGGAGGTCTTGGTCAGGGATTTCTTGAGGTCATCCACTCCTTCCCCTTTGGTCTTGGTTTCAACACTTTGGGCACTGCTAGAGGTGCTTGACCTAATGCCACTGCCGTAGCTGGCACCAATTGAACTGGGTTGGTAGCCGTAACTACCCCCACTGCCGCTACTGATCACAGCTGTGGAGACAAAATTTTTAAAAAAGGCCAGTGGTAGTGGGGGAATCATACACCAAACAGTAAAATGAAGAAGGGATGCTAGGCAGGCAACACGAGGTGGGAAAAGAAGGCGCATTTGCTACTTTTTATCCCCATAAGAGAATGAGTTTCCTTTGCAGCAACCACAGGGCTTTTGACTAGAAGTGAAGCTGAACTTCCCAACCATAAAGAGCAGGAAATAATGGGAAGCTGTGGAGTTTCCTGCTCTGGACTTTTTTTTGAAACAATCATCGTGGAATAGGAGTAACAGCAGCCACACTGCAACAATAATGGAATTAAAAGGCCCTCCATGAGTGGATAGAGCACTGGCCCTGGAGCCAGGAAGACCTGAGTTCAAATCCGGCCTCAGACACATGATACTCACTAGCTGTGTGACTTTGGGCAAGTCACTTAACCCTGATTTCCTCACAACATAAAATAAAATAAAATAAAATAAAAGGCCCTTCGTGGGCAACATCTACAGGAGCTCATACAACAATATATTGATTTTTAAAATGTCAAACAAATAAATGGCTGAGTTATATAGATTTATTTGTGGAAATGGAGGGTTTTATGAAGGCAGTTGAGGAGCTAGAAATTAGAAAAAGGTTTATCCTTAAAGAGCCAAGACTTAGTGATCAATATTGATTATACAGGGCAAAACTATGAAACACATTCCTGCAAGCCACAAAAGATTGGCACCAATTCAATACCTAACAAGATATGGCCTCGCTGCGCTTCATCGATTGACAGAAAGCAAATCTCTATTCTACAAACATATACCTCAAAATAGCCTTGATAAATCAGCTAATAAACTGTGTTGGCAGCAGACCCAGACCAAATCGTTGCTCTCAATTGCCCAGATAAAAACTGAAGAACAATGTTTTTAATACCTGTTGCCACATGAAAGAATCAATCCCAAACTCCATGGAATGAATAAAAAGCTTCTAAAATATAAAGGCCTAACAGAGGAATTCAAAATCATATGGGGATAGGAATGTGTGTATATGTATATGTATGTGTATGTGTGCATGCATATATGTGTGTATATACAAATATGTGTGTATATCTAGATATACACACATATACATATACGTGTACGTGTACATGTACATATACGTATACATATACACATACACACACATATATATCCCCATCATCCAGTCTTCTTTCTAGAGTTCATCACTCCACATCTGGACTTCTGCAATGGCCTGCTGGTAGGTCTGCCTGCCTAGTATCTCTTCCTACTCCAACCTATCCTCCATTCAGTCGCTAAAGAGATTTTCCTAACATGCAGGTCTGACCATATCACTCCTCTCCTCAATAAACTCTAGTGGCTCCCTATTGCCTTCAGGATCAAATGCCAGATGCTCTGTTTGATGTTCAAAATCTAGCCCCCTCTTAACTTTCCAGTCTTCTTACTACCTTACAACTCAATGTGTACTTTTTGATCCAGTGACGCTGGCTTCCTTGCCATTCCACAAACAAGACCCCTTATCTCTCAACTCCTAGCATTTTCTCTGTCTGTTCTCCATGACTGAAACACACTCCCTACTCCACTCCACCTGTTAACCACCCTAGTTTCTGTTAAGTCTCAACTAAAATGATTTTTTTTTTTACTGGAAGCCTTCCCCAACCTTTCTTAATTCTAATGCGTTTCCTCTGTTAATTACTTCCTATTTATCCTATATATAGCTTGTTTTGTATATATTTGTTTGTGTGTTTTCTCCCCCTCTAGAGAATAAACCTCTTGAGGGCAGAGACTGGCTTTTGCCTTCTTTTTGTATCCCCAGTGCTTAGTAAAGTGCCTGGCACATAGTAGGAGTTTAATAAATGTTTATTGATTGATTGATAGAATTGTGCCAAGGTTGCTTTCAGTGAGTCCTATAGAGGATCAGCTTACATCCTAATATTTTTATATAACTGCACAAAGCAGTTATTTAATCCACTCATTTAATAGTCTATAGAGCATGAAATATAAAATTAGAGTGGCGAACATTAAATATATTTATAAGCTATAAAAATATAAAATCACTATCCTAAGGATAGTGAACTTTGTCAAAAAATGAATAGAATTTTTATATAATAATGGTAACTTAGAGTTTATAGAAATAGAGGGCTTTGTGAGAATAATTTAGAATCAAGTGACTGTCATCAGAAATTACAGAAACATTATCTTAAAGTAGTCCAGATTCACTGATTGATAAGGATCATTCAGTGAAGTGGTAGAAACAGCAAAAAAAAAAAAAAACATTTAGTAACCACCATATGTCCAAAAGGACCCAGTCAAGTTACTGAAATTCTATAGCAAATGTTCACTATTCTTTATATAATCACAGATGGCAATCTCCATCCTACAGAGAGAAACTGTGAAATGTCCTTGAGAAATCAACAAATAAGCTGTACTGAAAATAGAACATCATTACAAACAAAACTGATGCCCTTAACCTCCTGGACATATTTGATCTATTAAAATTTAAAAAATAAGGATTTTAATGGAGGTTGTCATACTGAAGACTTATCTCCAAATTACATGGGATAAAAGGCTTTCAAAATATAGAGACTCATAGGAAGAAATTAAAAACAGGTGGGGACAGGACAAGATGCATGTCATCCTTGTTCTTCCATCATTTACTGGCACTGTCCCAAAGGTACTTTCAGTGAGTCTGCAGAAGGTAAGCCTACAACCCAATACTCTTATTCAACTACAAGAAATAGTCATTTTACCCACTGCACAGTAGGGCACAAAAATGTTAAATATAAATGAATAACAAGGTAACTTGTCCTGGGACTGTTTCTGTCTAAATCCCTTTAAACATATGTCAGTAATGAGATAGCAGTGATGATAGATAGAAATAACAATAAGCAGCAAAGTATGATGGAAAGAGAAAACTGGCCTCAGAGTCAGAAAGACCTGAGTTCAAGTCCTAATTCCAACATACTGGCTATGTGACCCTGAACAAGGTAGGTAATGTATTGGATAGAGCACTGGGCCTGGAGTCAAGAAAACCTGAATTAAAATCCAGTCTTAGACATTTGCTAGCTGTGTGACCCTGGGCAAGTCACTTTACTGCTGTCTGCCTTAGTTTCCTCAACTGTAAAACGGGAATAACACTTACCTTCCAAGGTTGTTGCAAGGATCAAATGAGATAATATTTATAAAGTGCTTAGTACAGTGCCTGGCACATAATAAGCATTTAATAAATGTTTGTTTCTTTTCTTCTTTTAATAGCTCAACGCCTTTAGGCAAATTCTCTAAAAACTATGCGTTGCACAAGTAGTAGCTCACCTGCATTGGTAGAGGGAGTTTCATGACTGGGAATTACCTCCACCAATGAAGTCACATGTCCAAGAGGGAAAAAAAAGGCCTGCTCATCCTTCATTATGGTGTGTGTGCAGGTGACCCTGGGTCCTTGCCAGTGGCATACAAGTTCTGGCAGGCCCTCCTAAACAGAATGGATTCAATGACACACTGTGGACCTAGCTCGCCACCAGAGGGTGATGATGGCTTACAGCTGCAACTCATGAAGACCTGTCCCTCAGCCACAGAGACTTTAGGCTCTGCATCACTGGCAGGGGTGCCCGTGTTCACAAAATCACAGATCACTTGGAGCAGCACTGACAACAGCTTGCCTTTTTTGGAGGCTTTACAATTTGCAAAGAGCTTTTCTCATAAAAACCCAGGGAGGCAAGCAGACTATAGTCAGTCCTACCTAGAAAGAAGAACAAAGATAAAATGTTCCCAAGCCTCAACTCTGTCAGGACAGCATATCTGTCTAATTCGTCTTTGAATCTCCAGTGTCAAACGCAGTGCCCCACAGAGAGGAAGGAATTTCTTAAATTTGTTAGCGGTCACTTTTTCTTCTCTCCAGAACCCTAAGCCCCACACATCTTCTAATCAAATACTTACAGATGCTCACAGAGGAGGGATTCTCACCAGACATCCTGTAAGATAGAACATTAAAACAGTGTAAAACTCCAAAAAGTGTCTAAACAGATTTAGTTCAGATTTGGGGTCATGACACTTTCAGGAATATCCCAGGGGAGTCCAGGAAACTATTGTATCGTTCAGGGTGGGGAACCCGTGGCCTCAAGGCCACATGTGGCCCTCAAGGTCTTCAAGTATGGTCCATGATTGAATCCAAACTTCACAGAACCCCTTGGATTTGTGATTTTGTAGATTTGCGAAATTTGTGATTTCCACTCTATGAAGTTTGGATTTAGTCACATGGCCACACAAGGACATACAAGGCCACTTGTGGTCTTGAGGACACAGGTTCCCCACCCCTTAATAGTTAATTCACCAAAATTCTTCCTTTTTTCTTTCTTCGTCTCCTTTCTTCCTTCCTTCTTTCTTCCCTTCCTTTTCTCCTCCTTCCTCCCCTCTTCTTCTCTTTCCTCCCCTATTTCCCTTCTTTCTTTCTTCTTCCTCTTTTCTCTCCTTTCTCCTTTCCTTCCCTCTTTCTTCCCTTTCTCCTTTCTTCCCTTTCTTCCCTCCTCCCTCTCTCTCATCCATCCTCTCTTCCATGCCTCTTCCTTTCTTCCCTTCCTTTCTTTCTTCCTTCCTTCCTCATTCCCTCCCTTTCTTCCTTTCCTTTCTTTCTTCCTCCCTCATTCCCTCCCTCTCTTCCTTTCTTTGTTCCTCCCTTCCTTCCCTCCTTCTTTCCCTCCACTTTTTTTCCCTTCCTTCTCTCCTCCCTCTTCCACCATCTTCCCCTTCCTTTCTTTCTTTCTTTCTTTCCTTCCTTCCTTCCGCTCCTTCCTTCTTTCCTTCCTTCCTTCCTTCATCCTTTCTCCATATTATCTTCAAGGGTCTTGTCTTCTGGTTCCCATTTTGGTGTCACTCATTCAGCCCCATCTCACCTGCACTCCTCTCCCTCCAGAAGCTTCCTATAGGTAGCAATCTCCACATCCAGAGCAAGTTTGGTGCTCATCAGTTCCTGGTAGTCCCTCAGCAAGCGAGCCAACTCCTCCTTGGCACCATGAAGGGCACCTTCCAGTTCATCTAGCTTGGCCCTGGCATCTTTCAGGGCACAATCACCCCTCTGCTCAGCATCTGCAATGGCTGTCTCTAGGTTGGAGCACTGTGGGGTAAAGAGGGGGCAGTTGATTGTATAGTCAGTATTTTCAAGTTGAAATATTAATAACCCATGTTTCTATATCACTTTAAGCCTTACAAAATGTTGTCCTTTCTTGTATGAACTGATACCAAGAGAAGAAAGCAGAACCAGGGGGACAATATACATAATGACTACCAGAATGTAAATGAAAACAACTTTAAAGGGCTATTTGAATCAAATTAAATGTAATCAATCAATAATCAATAAGTAAGTATTATACCTACAATGAATCAGACACTGTGCTAAGCACCAGGACTATATAAAAAGAGGCCTCAAGGAGTTTACAATTTAATGGAGGAAGTTACAATATAATTATCAATATGACCCAGCACAGAGGTTTTTAACCTTTTTTTAATAGATCTTTGTAGACTACTTTGGAAACCTGCTAAAGCCTCTAGACCTCCTTTCAGAGTCTTTTTAAAATATCTGAAAAAAAATCACCAAATTTACATTTGAGGTTAGAAAAAAAAGATGCAATTTTTTCCCATCCAAGTTCATGGACTCCCTGAAATCTAACCATGAACTCCTGGTCTAGAGGATGAAATATACTTCCCTCCTCTCACTGGGGATGAGGGTGGCAGTGAGAAGTGGAAGATTATGGATGCTGAATGTTGCATAATCTGAAAGATACAGTTGCTAAATTGACAGGTTTTACATGACTGTTTCTCTTTATAATTACCAGAGGATTGTATCACAAGGTCTGGGAGGTGAAATGACTGATTGCAATATAAAAAAGAAAATGTTTTTGCCTTTAAAAATAATGCTTTTGTTTTTTGTAACTAACCACCTTCTGAGATAGAAAGTACAAATATTATTCTCATTTTACACATGAGGAAACTGAGGACCAAAGAGTAGCTAGGTAGTTAGAACTAGAGCTAGTCGGGAAGACCTGAGTTCAAATCCTACCTCAGACACTTAGTGACCATCTCCTCATCTGTAAAAAGGAACTAATAATAGCACCTCCCAGGGTTGTTGTGTGGACCACATGATAGTGTATATAAAGCATTTTGCCCCTTACAATGCTATATAAATACTAGCAATTACTATTCTTCACAGAGATTAAGTAACTTTCTCTAGGTTACAAAGTCAGAGCCAAGCTTTAAGCTTAGGTCCTCTTATTCCAAATCTAGTGCCCTTTCCATTTTACATGTAGAGATAAGTCGAGGGTAGAAAGTCTGGTCTTGTTGCTCCCTATTCTGGGAAGATGGGAGCATAATCACGATAAAGGAGAACCCAGCAGTGCATCCATCAATCAGCAATTATTGATTAAGCTCACATTGTGTGCCAGGAACTGAGCTAGACCTTAGGGTTATAAATGCAATGAATGGAATAATTCCTACTCATGTATGTTCAATGTATGTTGCAATCCTACACACACACACACACACACACACACACACACACACACACACACACCATGCAGACCTGTGCTGAGATCTCAAAGCAGGGAGAGTCATGGTCCTTGCATTCAGGGAGTTCCCAGTCTTAGGAGGTTCACTCTAGAGAGCAACCTGGATTAGGCAGCCAGAGTTCTCAAAAGGTAGCTCAGGGATTTGGGAGTGGGAGGTGGTGAAGAGGTCAATCAAGTCTTCCTGGAGGAGGGATGTGTGGAGGAGGCATGGGAAAGAAATGAGCAAAAAGGATGAGCAGAGAAAAGGCATGCTGCAGCCTGCTCAAGTGCACTCTCAAGAATCAATTGTTTCATTTTCAGTGTGAGCATTTGTACCACAGAAAAGGGCTTGATTTATTGTTTTATTGATTGTCTAGACCAAAAAGTGATAGAGAAAATGTTCATAATGTAAATTAAGCTTAAAAAGGATGTTGAGTGTACTCTTTTTTTTTTCCTTTGGAAAGTCAATTGTTAAACATTTACAAGTACACCCCTGGAAAGAGGATGGAGGACCATGTAGTTAGGGGCACCTGTGTGTACAAGTACAAGGAATGAGTTTACTGAGTGAAACGGTGATTCTGAATTAGGAAATTTAGGGCGCCAAAGCATGGGTTCTGGGGGCAGTAAGTAAAGGGACCCTAAACTGGGACTCTGATCCTGAATACTGAGGACTTTAACTACACCTTGGCCGTTTTGCTCCTTGTGGTGCCATAAGAAGACAGTTTCAACCCACCTGCTTTTTCACATTGCCTATCTCAGAGCGAAGCCTCTGGATGAGCCGGTTGAGCTCTGAGATCTCATTCTTGATGTGTTTGAGGTCATCCCCGTGCCGGCTGGCGGCCAGCTGCAGCTCCTGGATCTGGTTTTCGGGAAAGAGGAGATGGTGAGAAAGTACGTGACCCTGGCTCATCCTGCTGTGGGCTTCCCCAGAATGTTGCAGGGGAAGGAGGAAGTGGTCAGGCTGCCCACCTCTCAACAATGTAAAATAAATAAATAGATCTGTGCACCAGGGAAGAAACCAGAGAATAATTTATTTTACACAGGGAAATTCTAGGGCCCAGTACCATAAGCCTCCCAACAAGCTATCCAGTGGTGACAATGCCTCTGACTGTAATAGGATTTATAAATGGTAGAGCCTCAGTGTACTCTGGTCTGATCCCTTCATTTTACATTTACTGAGGCCCAGTTAACTTGTCAAAGGTCACGCAGGTAGCAAGTATCAAGACCATAACAAATAGCCTACTAAAGTTGGCTTGTTTGGGTACTTTTATTGTGATATCTTTCTGTGTTGGGTATATTTGTCCCCATGGTGTGCCCTAGATTTAAAAATCAATTAACATATTCTGTGTGGGGTCTAACAACAGAAATAAAAGGGATAAGAAGAGCTCCCATGTTGTTCCACACTGACTAAAATGACAACCACAGAAAGACGCCAGAATAAAGGTGTCAGGAGGAGACAAGACAAGAAAGGACAGTGAGATATTTTTCTTACTGTCTGGGTCTGGATCCATGGAATTCTCTTTGTGTAGTACCCAGCTCGTTGCCTTGAAGGATTAATGGGGCCCTACCTGCAATGACTTCTCATTGACTATAGACTAAAGCCCAAACTTTTTCCTTTGACATTCAAGGCTTCCTGGAACCTGTTCCACTCTCCCTTTCTGGATTTATTTCATACTGTTTCCCTGCATGCACTCTATGTTCCAACAGATTTGGACTACAAGTAGATCACTCATTATGCCCTGTCTTCTATGTATTTGCATAATATGTCTCTCATACCCTCTACATCTCTACCTCATTCCTTCAAGAAGCTCTGTAATGACCTCCCTCATGAAGCCTTCTCTGATGTTCCTCACCCCAAACTTCTAGCTAGAGGTAATACCTCATTCTCAGAATGCCTGTTTCTTTCCTGGCCTGTGTCTGTCCCATGGCACTGCCTTTGTCTGCCACTTGCCTTGCTCTGGTACAAGCTTTCAGCATCCGACTTGCTCTTTAGAGCGATATCCTCGTACTGAATGCGGACCTCATCAATGATGCTATCAAGGTTCAGGTCACGGTTATTGTTCATGGATAGGATGACGGAGGTTTCACTGGCATGGGTCTGGATCTGGGCAGTCTCCTGTGGAGGCAGGAAGGAGATAATGTTAGATCTCTATCCCCTCAGCCCTTCCTGCTCAGTTCCACTGGGATAGTCTCTCTGCCGCTTGGGGTAAAGTGAAGGTGGGCACAGAACTGGGACCTGTGGGGCTCAAGTAAGGAAGGCCAGAAATTTATATGGATGGACCTCATTAGATGGGAAGCCTCCTTGCTAACTCTCAATTCTATAATCCTATAGAAAGGAAAAATCTCATTGAAAATAAATAGATGTCAAAAGAATGAAAAAGAGACCATAGGCACCATGAGGTATGCAAAGGAAACAGAAGAATGCATTTCCTAGAGTCTTACAAAATTTACCTCCCTGCCTCTAGAAAAGGTAGTCATCTCAACCCCAATAAGATTATCTTCTATGGGTAAGGCTTTTCCAAAGAAAGGGATTTCAAGTCTCTCTTCATCATCTGTTGAAGGAATTTTTGCACCAATGGCATGTACCACAAATCTCCTTTGGTGCAAGTAATGTGAAGTGAGTTCCAAGTTGAGTGGGGTGAAGAGGACACTGCCTCATGAGATACTAGCTCCAGGATACTATTGAAGGAGCCAGGAAGTAATTGATCCAGCCTGCCATCAGGTAGCCTCCTCTTTTAACTAAGTATTCTTGCTAACTAGGCACTAAATTCTGTTGTTTCTTTATTGCTGGTGGATTTAAAGAATTGTCAGTGTCCTTTAAATATGGCAGCCTGGAGTAAAGCTCTGGTCACCCTACCTTAGTTATGGCTCTGATCAGGGAGTCCTTCCTTCATTATATATTGAAGCCCTCCTGCTATAGCTTACTTTTTTCAGGTGAATGACTGGGAGATAAATCCTACCTATGTCAGTCCCTGCTTGGATAGAAGTATCCAGTAAAGGGAGGTAAAGTAGAGCATCACGGGTCCTTACCGCCTCATATAAGCATTTCAGGTACTTGATCTCCTTGTCCAGTGATTCCACCTTGGCCTGTAGCTCTACTTTGATAGTATAGGCAGCATCAGCATCCTACAGAGAGTTCACACAGAGCCTAGGGTTAAAATGTCCCACATTTCCGGTTCCCATTCTCTTGGCCCAGAGCTGGTTTGCTTCTTTGTGATATAGAAAAGGCACAGCCTTGATGCTCTGGTTGAAGTCCCAGATCTGATAATCACCAGCTATATGACCTTAGGTGGGATCACTAAGGTTCTTAGTATGAGCTTCAGTATTCTCATCTACAAAATGGGAATAGGAATTCTTACCCTAACTACTGCATGTGGTCATTGTGGGGAAAACAATCAGGAAGTCTTAAACTATAGAAATATGGTCTATTATCCCTTTAATTTTCAATATTATACTGCCTACAAAAATATAAACAGATAATAATAACTTGTAGTAATGTAGCAATTTTTCTATAAATCTATCTTTCCTATCTATCTTTTCTATAAAACTTTTCTATACATTTTTGAAGCTTAAAAGCATCTTCTCAAGGAGAGGGACGGGGAAGATAAGCCCTGATCTTTCCATGTTGGAGCTGGAGAAACCAAGGTGTTAACATGGTTTTCCCTATCGCACAGAAAGCCCAGCATAGACTTAAAGGTTTTTGATTCCCAAGCTAGAGTTTTTTTCACTTCACACGCTTGTCTGTGCTCCAAATGTTTCTAAACCACATCTTCCCCAACCAACAGGGAATATCTCTGAAGCCAAGAGGGTCTCTTCTGCTTTCCTCCCCTCAGTTCCCAGGACAAAGTTCGAAACAGAGCATTGGTTCCTGGGATGGACATATACTTGAACTAGAATTGTATGATTTAGATCTAAAAAGATATCTACAAGGGAGAGGAAGGGAATAAACATTTATTAAGTGCCTACTATGTGCCAGGGCCTGTGCTAAGGGCTTTACAAATATTATCTCATTTGATTCTAATGAATCATAGAATTTTTACAGAGATCATTTGGTCCAACCCTTTTACTTTGCATCTGTGGAAATCTAGGCCCAAAGAAATTAAGAGATTTTCATAGAGTAAATAAAATATTCAGTGTCCAGCTCCCTGACTGAAAACCCAATACTCTTCTCAGTAAACTGCATGATGCCCAGGACCTTCCATTCTCCTCACCTTTTTGAGAAGAACAAATTCATTCTCAGCTGCTGTGCGTCTATTAATTTCCATCTCGTACCTGCAGATGGGAAGAGATAATTGATGCATTTGTCCCCCCCCAACCTTCCTGAAGGTCAGTCAACCTAATCACATCACACCATGTACATACATGCACACGTACACACACACACATGCACACACACATACACACACACAGCCAGACAAATGTCCTGAATGCCATTGGAACACCATCTCTTTCTCAATTTTTCTCAGCACTACTAATTGGATCTCTTTTTTGCCCCATAATACTTCTTACATCATAGTTCTCTGTGTATATGTTTTCTTTCTCCTATTAGTCTATAAGCCCCTTGAGGGCAGAGACTGTATCTAATTTCATCTTTGTATTCCTAGTACCTAGTAGAGTACCTGGCATACAGTATGTGCTCTTAAAAAAAATGTTTGCCACACTAGTGCATTGGTAATGTTCCCATTAATTAGTATAACCATTCTAGAAATCAGTTTGTAATTATATAATTATATGTAATTATAAATTATATGTATAAATTATATGAATATATATAAATAATTATATAAATAAAGCCACTAAAATGTTCATACCTTTTGACCTAAAAATTCCAGGTCACCAGACAGGATCTAGGCATGACTTTCCTTCCCCATCCCCTTCCCTTAAAAAAGTCTCAAAGGTCAAGATGCCCCAGAGACACCTTGCTGCATGTTATATTTTGTCTCCTCACCTCTTCTTGAAGTCCTCCACCAAATCCCTCATGTTCCTCAGCTCAGAGTCCAGTCGCAGCTTGTCCCCTGACAAGGTATCCAGCTGCCTCCTCAGGTTGCCGATGTAGCCCTCAAAGATGGGCTCTAAGTTCTTTTTACAGTTGCTCAGGTCCAGCTGCTGAAGCAAGTTCCACTTGGTCTCCAACACCTGGTTCTGCTGTTCTAGGAACCTCACCTAGAACCCAACAGGAGAGTTACTTAAAGCCCACTGCTGAATACCTAGATGACAGTTCTCTATGTACGAAACAGGGTCATGGGGCTGAGGATGACATTAAGAGCTCTCTTCATCCATTTCCCTTCCTCCGTCTACTGTTATAAAAAACTCTCCATAAATAAGAGGCTCACAAAGTAATTAAAGCAATTTCCATCTATGTGATGTTTTTATATACATTTATTGATCCTAATAATATCCCCATTTTGCAAAATCATGAAAGTGTGTCCAAGATCACAGAGCTAGCAAGACCCAGGACTTCCAACTATAAGTCCAATTATCTTTCCTATAAATATCTCCTGATTAATTGTTGGAAGGTTTCTGAATAAAAATATTCAGTAGCATCCCTCAGGCACCTAGTTTAAAGATCCCAAAACCATTTCAATTAGGAAGTCCTTTCATAGGTCTAACTTTAATCTTTCCTACAGTACTGCAAGTCAATTTCCTTTGAATACTATTGACCCCTTTAGCCTTTTCCCATAGGCTGTGAGCCAATAAGCCCCTCCAGAAATCATTCACATCCCTTCCAAAATCATTTCATTCATCCCACCTCACCACCATCTTGCTTTTCAAGACAGGGCTAGCCTCTATTTACCCTTTTTGAAAAATTCCTAGAGAAACTAATTCAGTTATCTCACCTTGTTTCATGTCAGCTCCCTCTTGAGGTCAGGAAGTCTTTCCTGTTGTCTAACCTCAGTCCTTCTGAACATATTCTGCATCAGCAGGAATAATTGCCCATTTTCCCAGCCCCACTTCACCTGCCTCCCCTCAGAGACTTAACAGGCTCACCTTGTCGATGAAGGAGGCAAACTTGTTGTTAAGAGCCTTGATCTGCTCCCGCTCCTGGGTCCTCACTTTCTGGATTTCAGGGTCGAACTCCACATTCAGGGGAGCCAAGAGGCTCTTGTTGACGGTCACCTGGTGTATGCCCCCGGGTGGGCACAGTGATGGGCACACAGATCCCAGAGCCACGTTGCCAAAGATACTACCTGCAAAGCCAGTAGCCCTGGCCCCTCCATACCCAGCTGCATGCCCAAAGCCATACCCCCCAGTTCGAATACCCCCAGACACATTGAGGGGGATGCAACGACTGGCGCCTAGGCTGTAGAGACTCCGGCTGCCAAAACTAGTTCCAGCCCCTTTGACCCCTGCCCGATAGGAAGACGAACTGCCCCCTACTTTCCGTGGCAAAATTGCAGAGTATCCACTAAAGTCACTCTTCTCACCACCATACTTCAGGCCCAGCTGCCGGCTCATGGTGCAGGGAAGAATGGAAATTGTGGAGTAGGAGATTATCAGAAACCAAAAGAGCTAAGAACAAACAGTACTAATAGGACAATTGGAATATCTGTCTCCTTATATCCCAATCAAGTCCAGGACAGCTGGAAAAGGGCGTCTCTCCCCTATCTTCTCTCCTCCTCCCAATGAGCCAGGGGGCAATGGGCAATTTGCTGAACATGGATAACCAAAGCCTTTATACCAACAAAGCCCATCCAATCTACAACTGGATATGCTGTCCTTGCAATCTGCAGTGGTCTAATTTGCAGTTTATCTGTACTTTCTAATTATGGATTAGAAGAGTTATCCCCCAAAGATCTGCAGGATTTATTTTCCTAGCCCTGCCTCCTTCCTGTTTGAACTTTTTTGATATCTCTGAGTTTACTCTCAAGAAGATTTCATCTCTCTCCTAATTCATTCCTTTCAACTCCACTGGAATTTCCCCCAGTCAAGTTCTCCTTCCTCCCTAAGGATAGGACGTCTCCCACAAGCTCCAATTTCCCCTATATTCCAACAAAGAACATTAGAACTAGAAAGGACCTTACAGATCCAGCCAAATTATCCACCTTACAGATGAGAGAACCAAGACTCTGAGCAGTAAATCAAAGCTAGCATTTCTATGACTCTTTCGGGTTTACAGAGTATTTTCCTCACAACATCCCTTTGAGGCAGAGAGTACAAGTATTATTTCTCCCCATTTTAGAAATGATCCAGTAGCAAAGGTGGGATTTTAACCTCATCCTTTAATGCTACTCCCAAAGTCCAATGCTCTTTGCATTATGCCATATTGGTTTTGTATAACCTACAATACCCAACATATCCCAACATATTCAAAATAGATTTATTGAATGAATGAATATACAGAGATGATAATGACCTCATTTTGCCCTATTAAGATGTCCTCTGTTCTCCATTATGTGTGGTCCAGTCCAGTTTCCCCCAGAAAGTTAATGAACAAAGTTACTTTATTTAGAGCCAGTCACTACAGGACAGGATGAAAAGATGGACCGTGAGGCAAAAATCAATGGGGAAAAGGAAAAACAAGATTAAAAAATGAGTGAGATGGGGAGGAGTCAGTACGTTGGAGAAGTGGGAGCTCTGGAGCCATAGCAGCAGTTGCTGCTGCTGCTTTTCAGCCATTTCAGACTCTTCATGACCCCATTTGGGGTTTTCTTGGCAAAGATACTAGAGTAGTTTGCCATTTCCTTCTCCAGCTCATTTTACAGATGAGGAAACTGAGGCAAACAGGGTAAAGTGACATATTCAGGGTCACACAGCTAGTAAGTAAGTGTCTGAGGCTGGATTTGAACTCAGGAAAATGAATCTGACTCCAGGCCCAGAACTCTCTCTACTGCGCCACCTATTTGTCTGGGAACAGCAGACATGGGTTCAAATCTTGACTTTGATGCTTACTACCTGTGTGACCTTGGGCAAGTCACTTAATCTTCTTGTCTTCAATTTCTCCATCTGCAGAATGTAAGAGTTGGACTAGACAACCTCCTTTGCATGATCCTGTAAGTGGTTAAACCTCTTCTCTTATTATGTAAAGTATGGATGGGGGCAGCTAGGCGGCACAGTGGATAGAGCACCGGCCCTGAAGTCAGGAGGACCTGAGTTCAAATCCAGCCTCAGACCAAACACTTGACACGTACTAGCTGTGTGACCACAGGCAAGTCACTTAACTCCAATTGCCTTAAAAAAAAAAAGAAAAAAATGTAAAGTATGGATGAAACAAAATTCATTATAAATGAAGGGTATAAACGAATTTGGTATATAAATGAATTCAGCGTGAGAACAAAGGACAAACCACAAACAAAGTAAAAAAAAAAAAAAAACACTTCAATGTAATAGAAAAGTCCCTGGAATTGAAGTCAGGAGACATAGATTTGAGTACCAATTCTGCCTCTTAGTAACTTTGTGACTATGATCAAGGTATAAACTCTCAGTTGGAAAGAATCTTGGAGGTCAATTAATGCAACCTGCATCTGAATAGCAAACCCCTCTACAACATTCCTGATGAATAATATTCCACACTCTGATGAGAAATTCACTACTTTGAGAAATTTTGACTTTTTGACAGCTCTAATTCTTTATATTGACCTTAAATCTGCCTTCTGTGACATCATTCACTCCTCGATCTTAGCTCTGCCCTCTGGGACTAGGTAGAACAAGACCAATCTCTCTTCCTCATGAGCCCCTTTGGATACTCAAAGACGCTCTATCTGTACCCCACCCCCAGTCTTCTCTTCTCCAGGCTAGACATTCCCAATTCCTTCAACAGATTCTTGGAATGATATTGAATGGAATGATATTGAAACTCCTCATCCTCACCATTTTCTTCTGCATGCATTGCAGTTTCTTAATGTCCTTCCCAAAATTTGATACCCAGAACACAGATGTTGTGTGACCAAAGCTGAGTCCAGCAAGATAATGACCTCCCTCATTCTTGACCATAGATGTGCAGAGTGTGAGCCCGATGTGTGTGTGTGTTTGGGGTGGGGGGAGGAAGCAGCATATCCATTAACCCATCCCAGAGAGCCTATACTATGCACAGTGTTTTGAACACTGTCCTTCTGCTAATGCAGCCTAATCCCAGTAGGGTTTGGGGGAGATTTTTGGCTACCAACTCATTCCAATGACTCATATTGGACTGGAATTCTTCTGTCCTATCTCCTCCATTGTTTTAATCTTTTAGACTATACACTCCAATCCAAGTTAGTTACCATTCTCCAGATGTTAGCTCACCCACCCTTGCTCTGTGTTCTCTTCTTTCCTTCCATCCCTCTGTAGAATCTTACTTTAGACCTTCAAGGGGACCTCCAGAGGGAAGAAGAAAGAGATGTATGGTCCATTACTCGGAGAGCTCCTAGTTTTATAGAGGAGATGAGACACACACACAAGGGGTCCAGAAAACAAGTACAAAATACGCATAATCAGTGTGAACTGAGCACATCCAGTGCTAAAGAAATGCCAAGTAAAGTAGGAATGATAAGGGACTGGTTACGATGAAGGTAGTCAGTCTCTATCAAGAGGAGTCTTCTGATACGATGAGGAAGAAGGAGGAAGAAAAAGATTTCCTTAAAAACAATGATGGGAGCTTCACCCCACTCTGATTGGTGGCCCCACCTAATTGGATCCCAGGGAATTTAATTGCATGGAAATTGTTCTTGTCCTAAGTGACAAGATCTCTGGCACTGCTGATCTGTAGATGCTTGGCCATCATTTAATTAGCCATTGCACACCACAGTCATGGTCTTTGAGTGAGATACTTAGGGAGGAAAAGGCTCTCAAGACCTAGAAGCATTCATTCATTCATTCATTCATGCAGAAACACACATAGGCATACATTCAATAAATACTGACTGAGCTACATGCACAGCTCAGTGCTAGGCATTGAGTGGGAGAAGAGAAGACATGCAAAAGGAATATGAGACACAGACTTTGCCCTCTAAAAGTTTACAATCTAGCTGAGGAGGCAACATACATAAGGCTCAGTAATGATATGTTAGGAGATGACTAAGCACCAAAATGTGTGATACAGACACTAATGCTACTGGCATTCAAAGAGCAAGATGTGTAGAAGCATAAGCTTCTGGGAAAGGCTTCATGGAGGAGGCAGAAATGAGGCTGGACCTTGAATGATAGATAGGATCTAGACAGATTGGAGAGAGGGGAGAGAGATGGAGAGGGAGAGAGGGAGAGGGAGAGAGGGAGAGAGGGAGAGGGAGAGAGGGAGAGAGAGAGAGAGATAGAGAGAGAGACAGAAAGTGAGTGGAAGAGAGAAAAAGAGGGAGACAGAGAGAGATAATGAAAGAGAAAGAATGAAAAGAAAGAGGCAGATAGAGGGAGAGAGAGAGAAAGAGACACAGAGAGAGAGAAAGAAAAATAAAGAGGAAAAGAGAGGAAAAGAAAGAAGGAGAGAGAAATAGAGAGGAGAGAGAAGGAGGAAGAGAAAAAGAAAGAATGAGAAAGAGAGAAAGAGAGAGAGGAAGAGAGAAGGAGACAGAGAGATATTGAGAGAGAAAGAATGAAAAAAGAGAGAGATAGAGGGAGAGAGACAGATGGAGAGAGAGAGAAAGAGATACAGAGAGAGAGAAAGAAAGAAAAATAAAGAGAAAAAGAGGGGAAAAGAAAGAGGGAAAGAGAAATAGGAGAGAGAGGGAGAGAGGAGAGAGAGAGAGAGAGAGAGAGAGAGAGAGATTGGACAGGTCCAGATTATGAAGGGCATTGAATGACAAGAGGAGAAGGAGGAAAAGTTTGTAGTTTGACAAGGGTTTTACAGTTTAAACAGTGTTTTCTTCATAAAATCTTTATGAAATAACAGTAGAGACTGGTCACTGGGCTTGTAATTTATCAGTATAAGGAATTCCTAGATGAGGACGTTCCTTCTATCAATGTGGGTAGGCACCTTCTCTGCAATTTATAGTCTTAGTTACTGGAGCACTGAGAGATTGAGTTACTTGCCTTGGGTTTCATAGCCAGTATGTATCAAGGGCAAAACCTGAATCCAAGTCTTCATGGCTTTCAGGCTGGTTCCCAATTCATTAAGATACCTATACTATTATGTCTGTTTATAGATTAGGGAACCAAGATTCTAAGAAGTCATTAATGTATTGTTGTTCACAGCTCTTAAATGGCAGTCTGTACCTCTTGTTCATATCTCAAAAGGCAGCCTGTGTCTTCCCTCTTCCCAGGCACAAGAGTAGCACAGTATAGGCCACCGGAGCAGCTGGGGTGGCAACAGTGACCATGGGCAGGGGCCTTGGCAGACCATCTAAAGGGAGACCCTCACAGCAAGAGAAGCCAATGGAAGAAAAGAGCTCACTTGGCATTGATCAGGTTATAATCATTGGAAAAGAGAAGTAAATGAGCAGCCCTATTGAAAATAACCCAATGAGGCTTGTATGCTACACCCTCTCAAGTGATTGTAATTATCCTATGGTTCTCCATTGCTTAGTGTTCCCTTCCTGTTGGGATTAAAACTGATAATTCCATATGTGAGGCCAAAGAGTGCCTACTGTAAAAAAGACACTGAGCTAAACCCAGAGGATTCAAAGATGAAATCCTTGGAATGCTTACTTTACAGGGCTGTTGTAAGAGAATCTCTTTGTAAACTTATTTAAAGGGCCATGGAAATGGGAACTATTATTA